GAGAAAAGAGTGTTTTTCTACAAAATTCCTTCCATTTGAGCTCCGTAACGAGGTATCCGAACGAAACGTGGCAGGATATTCAATTTGTACTCGTTAAAGAGCTGTCCACGTCCATTGTTCACGAAACGCACGCACTAAATTCCCTTTTGACGCGGTCTCTAGGCGACGTGTAAAGATTTTTTCTATATGTAAAAAAAAACTTATTTGATAGCGATTAATGAAATCAGAATTTCAATTGTTGTTTATATAGCTTTTGATTTTAATATAAATTTAGCAACAGATAAGAGACAGAGAACATAGGTGAAGTAAAAAGAAAAAACGTACTTGACTGTAATAACTGATTTATTTATTGCGATCAAAGATTGTGTTATTAGTTCCATATAAAACTTTTTTTAAATATAGTCTCATTTCTACAAAAAATTGCATAATTGAGCCTCTAGTAAAATAAATAAAGGCTAACATAAGCATAGACGTGCGTATCGATCCGACGTTGGGCTTCGGAAGCTCGCAACTCCAACGGCATTGACTAAACAACGCCGATACTGCTCAGTAACCAGATTCCAAAATGGTATCTATGGTAATTATTTAAATTAAGTATTAATTATCTCTATAACTGTCTCTTTCTACTATCATTTAGTGAAAAGAGAAAGAGCAACTTCAAGCATTTCTTAAATTGACGTTGATTTTTATGAGTAGGGCCCTAAGTGTATAATCTATGGATATCGATTATAGTTTTTCTTATTACCGGACGACACACGAAACGATTGACAATCGGATCTATAAAAGTATATTTCTCTCGATTAAAAGAAATAATAAGAATATATAAGAATAAAGTTATAATGTAGAAAAATAAAACTGAAAAATATGTACACTTTTGACTAAATATAATTTACATAGTACAATATACATGAAAGATCTGCTAAGTATAATTGATATACAATTTTAAACACTGACTCAATTATGGAAATTTTGCCAGCACGCTCACTTTTTCAAGATAAATATAAAACATTAAATACAATTATAGAATAAAATGAATAAAGAATTATTTAATTATTTGAATGCTATTCGAAGATACAATTTTTTTAAAAATTCAACGTTAGTCACAAATAATATATTGAGGTGCCTGCCTATCAAACGTCATTTCAAACTAAATTACTGACATCAAAAATTCCGATTTACAATGAAGCGACGACTTTTAAATTGTCTTCATTATTAATATGTCGTTAGAATAATAAAATCTAATGCGATTTAGGTAGTGATGTCACATCCCGAGTCAGGTGCGTTTTCCGTCATGACTGATTTGATATTTTTTTGCGTCGTCATAACGATGTCTTTGGTTTTTTTTTTAGCAGTTTGCCAGTTTTATACAGTCCTAATTGAGGTCCAGATTCGCTAAGGATGCGATTAGGTCGTGATTAATACAGCTGTTTTGCCATTTTGAAGCCTTGGGTATTTAAATCGTGTTTTATAAATTGTTCGCCTTTGTTAATTTTGACTTCTTCGAAAATAACCATGACGATGTACGAATGGAATTTAGATTATAATTAATGAAATACGTTAATTTATTTTTGTTATATGACTTGAATGTAAATCACAAGTTTTATATGTGGTGGAGTCGTGCTACAGCTAGATTTTGGTTGTAACGGGAATGGGTTGGCTCGACCGGGGAATACAAGTGTGAGATAGCAGCATAATGATGATGTGTTTCGTATGGTGAGTGTAGAAAACCGGAGTCCCTGTTTTACTTGAAAATAAACTTTCCATCTTAATAGATACTCAGGAGTAACAAAGTATCTGTACTTTGATTCTGAATCGAGGATAGATGTAGATAGATGTTTATAGGCTACAACATCCACTTAACATCAGGTAGACCGTGTGACGGTTTATCAACCTTATTCTATAAAAAAAACACTGAAGCGTATTCAACACACCGGTCTTAATTTGCCACTTAAATATCGTGTCATGAGAAAAAAGAGGATATATGAGTACATACTAAACGAATATAATTTTTATATGAAATATTTTCTTTACCGTCAACCGTAAAAGTTCACTGCATGTCCATGTGCAGTCTAACCAACGGACATGGGCCTCCGCATCATAGGAAGGAAAAACTAGCTTATTTGCCAATAACAAATACAGACTATTTGCATAAGGGACTTAACAATATTAGCATTCAGGACAGTACTGTTTTCTTTTTAGTAGGAAGTTCCATTTTTAATGTACTCACTCAAAAATGAACACAAGAATAATTGCTGAGATGGCTCTAAAATATCAAATTTTTGCCAAGTGAGTGATGAGACGCGGTCGGAAATTGTAATTTTATTTTAAATAATTGCAACACTAAATGCGATTACGGGATCACAAATGGCACTTAAAAAGAAGACAAATTACTTTCTCCCTCTTCGCTACTAGTCTTACGTATTATGTATCAACATTACATCGAATTTAAATTTAATTGTTCTGTATTCGTGGTAATGTTAGCAGCACTGCGATATTATATCCTGCGCAATTGACAACATCTGGTTGTATAATAAATGTTACCTTAATTAATATAAGTTGGTCAGAGAACGCCTTCCATGAATGGATTTTACATTAACAGTAACAGTGTGGAAAACGAAAAATAAATGAATAGAAAAAAGTTGAAACGACGAAATTAACTTTGTATTAAGTATTAGTTTTTTTTTTGAGTTTTTAAGTTTTAACATTTTGGTAGACCTAAGTGTTGTTTTTGCGTGTATTTTGTTCGTATTATTATTAAATAAAATGCCGACATGCATGAGCACAGTTTTAAAGTGACTAATATTAACCAACTACAAAAGTATTATTTCGCGCCGAAGATAATTGCACATTAATAATTTTAGTACAAAATTCCAACACTCTGACAATACGTTACATAGGCAGTTTATGTTAACGACACAGATTTAACAGCGATGGGTCATTTTTATTAATATTTGCGGTAACCCACACATACTTAGTACCACTCAGCCCAGTTATCTAAGGAAATCCACGTATACAAGGAGGAGGCTCATATTTTTACACGTAGTATATCCCAGTAAAATCAAAATTGCATTTATGCAACCTTATTAGAATGTGTGATTTATTAATAATGTTTTTGTGTATTCATTTTCTACTGATTTCGCCCACCCAGAATTTAAATCTAAAAATATTTTTGATACTTCTTGCAGTTGCAAAACCCCACCCCTTAATAAAATTACTTTAAGTTGAAAAATTATATAGATATAGATAATATTATATAAATGTGTATTAGGTAATTGCTTTTTAAATATTTTCTGTATTTTTTTAAATAAAATAAAATACTGTATTAAATTATTATTACCATATATAATGGGAAACTTATTACTTCAAACATATTCTTATCGCAAAGAAAAACAATAAAGACGTTTCAGTTACGCAAAGTCCGTACCCATTAAGTTAAAACCATAAACTGAAACATTAACAAGTTAATTTCAAAAACAATTAAGAGTTACACGATTTCAATAGAAAGTGGAGCAATATTTTGCTTTTGACAGTCGGTTACAGATAGCGCCATTGTAATTTTATATATTATCAATTTCCGTCGCTAGACATAGACATTAAATCAGAATAGATTATAAACGTAATCAGATAAACGTAATTTCATGACAATTATCATAATGCTAACATACTCATTTGATACAATGTTCGCAACGATTATTTTCTTTCTGAAAAGCTTTTTAAGACGGCCCGTATATTATTGAATGCTCGTTAAAATGTTACGATTCCGGGGTGTGTTTTTATTGTATATTTTATGACAGGAGTGTTACATTTTAGCGCTGCGGGCTCTTTATTACGGTGTCATAGACTCGAATACTCTTTTAGTACCTGATAACGAGTCGAAAGTCGGTTTCTACTTTTCTATCTATATACCATGCTAATAGATGCAGTTGATGCTTATGTCGTAACGATCTGATGCTTCTGTTGATGAAGAAAAATATTTTATACATATTACTTTATTAAATGAAATATACTTCTTTATTTCTATTTAATTTCTTAACCTGATCATCCGGTTAATATGGTCACTTTCTTATAACTGAAAGACTACAGCCTTGTTTGCATAGATAGCTCTATGATACTATATAGTATCTCTTCATCAGTCAATTAAATAGTAAATGGTCAAAAGGGCGCTGCTTTATTGACGCCATTTTGACGGTTGACATTATAGTAAATATTTTAGTCGATTCTAGTATTTTATAGAGTTGTTAGTTTTTTAACTTGATTTTTCAAATTTTTCTTAGTTATTGGCAAAGCTTGTTTGCTATTTTTTTTCTTAATGCATTAGTTATAGTATACGACTTTGTGTTTTAAAGGGCTGCAAAGCTTAAGGTGACCATATTACCCTCACGTATCTTACTTATATTAAAAAAAAAAACAAGAAGTAACATGACAACTTAAAAAAATTTGTTTAAAGTTTTTAAGTTTTAAAGTCTATTCGTATAAGTTAAAATGTGCCATGTCACTAAACTTCCGAAACTGCGTATTTTTATAATACTTCTTTTGTTTAAATGTTATAATCTGGACCTAAAATATTTGGTCCTTCCTTTGGTCCAATTTAAAGTTTAAGGTCGTACAAAGCGACAATAAAATGAATAGAAATATAATGTTACTTTTCTATAGAGTACGGGTAGCAAACAAGCATACAGTCCACTGGATGGTACGTGGATGCCTTATGTCCTCGATTAAGATTCAAATTGCAGATGCGTCGTCACCCCTGAGGATAAAATGGAATACCACGTTACCAGTAAAAAGGGTATCCGGTTCTCTATATTCACCATACGAAACACAGCAGCATTACTCTGCTATTTTACGCTGGTATTCTGTGAGAGCGTAGTCCTTCAACGGTCGAGCCGACCCATTCGTGTTGCAAATATAACATAACTGCACTGTGGCTCTGCCACGTAAAAAAGTACTTTATATCAGGAACGTAAAATGTTTGATTAACAAAACTTTTTCTTTTGTTTCAGATGGTCAGTCCAATCACCTTAATCTATTCAACTCGAGGCCGCAACCAAAAAAGAAACGAAAATCCAGGACTGCGTTCACAAACCACCAAATCTTCGAACTAGAGAAACGTTTTCTCTATCAAAAGTATCTATCGCCAGCAGATAGGGACGAAATTGCCAGTTCTCTTGGTCTCTCTAACGCACAGGTTATTACATGGTTCCAAAATAGGCGAGCGAAGCTGAAGCGGGATATGGAAGAATTAAAAAAAGATGTCGAAAGCGCTAAAGTCCTTTCGGCACATAAAACCTTCTTGGAGAACGTGACAGATTTGGGGATACTAAAGAAGAAGGCGATGAGCATAGGTGCGAGCGAAGAGGCCGCGACTAATTTAGTCGTGAACGCGTCCAAATGAAACGAGGCAGCGCGCTCGATCGCGCCCGACGTCAGCTACGATCGAAGCGTGCTCGATTTTTAAATCGCTGCATGGGACTGTTTATCTCGAATAGTGGTCAATTATTCACAGACAAAAGTCTAAAGTGGCGTTAAAACTTAAAAAGACTATTGAATGTAGCTAATTGAACGAATAGGATAAAATGAAGATAATCATCAAAATTAACTAAACTGTATAGAAAAAATAAAATCTCCCTTAATAACCTTAATGTTAAAATAATATATCTGAAGCATATATTATAGACAAAATTCAGAAAATCAAATTATGTAAAATTATTATCATTCGAAACGACCGATAATGATGTTAGATGTTTTTTATCTTCAATAATCTAGAATCGCGTTGTACTTCACTATTTATAGCATATTTAATATAATTAGCGTCTTTAAAAACGTAAAATAAACGAAATATTATTCAGCACTTCTAAGTGCTATTTTTAAATCAAACATGTAAATACGTCGTCTGTTTGTACAAAAATATATTATGAAGATTCTTCTTTTAAAATATAAATAAATGTGATAGTTGATTTTATTATTTAAGTACTTAATGTTTATAGAGATATTTCTAAATTATTTATTTCGGTAGCACTGTCACTGATACATAAAATGCTAAAATGATAAAATCTAGTGATAAGTAACTTATAAACGATTATCTAACAGTTATTAAAAGCTAATAGTTTACCGCGCAGTGCAATATAAATACTTTGGACTATCAGTGATAATGCTAATTCACGAGTTACGTTGTAAATATTGTAATTGTATAGTTAGATCGCTTAGTGTTAGAATATTTTAAATATAGATTTAAGTATAACTAGAGATGCTAATGCAATGAATAGCGTTTAAACTAATTTGCAATTAGTAAGCGCGAATACTAATTCTGAATTAGTAATACTGTGTAATTTTACTAATTATTACATGCATTAGAAATCAATGTCAGTTAAACTTTTACAGAATTCTAGAATCAGTCGTATTAATTCCGGCAATAAAAATGAACCCTGTATGTAATGTACTTAAATTTTGTTTTTAAATTAAAAAAATATTTTTTATAAAAAATGTCAGTCACTACATAGGTATTATATTTAATTACTTACCTTTAACAGATTTGGGCGGCTTTGTGACATTCCATATATCAGATTCAAAAAGAGTATTTACCTACTTTAGTATAAGAAATTACAATTTCAGCTAGACTATATGCAATCCTGTTTGTATCAAAAATCTTTGTTTTTTTTATCAAGTTTCAGAACTCGATTTCGAGTTTTTATTTTTATTTTCAGTTATTGTTTTTATTCAGATTTTTTAAAGTTGCCAGCCGTTCCAAAAGATTTATTTGTCCTCTAATAATTTCTTGTCCTCATCATAAGTATTTTTCTGTTTTATGTAAAAGATGGTCTGAACTGATATATTTTATATTTAGTGAGTCATATTGAATATATAAATCATATTGTTTCATATAAAGCCTTGGTCAATAAATTGTAGACCCTTGTTCCAATCCCAGGCAAAGTCAGTATTTATAATAATTTAAAAAAATTATAGTGATACTGCATCTGATTTTTCTTTTGATCTTTAAGTGTTCAGCACATATTATTTAAGGAAAGAAGCACGAATTTGTCGCTTAGACATTAATAAACCAACTGTCTGTTTGATAAACTTTCAAACTATCATTATTTCAAATCAGATGTAATAAATAATAATATAATATGAAATAAAAGAAACACTAATCCTCTCACAGGCGGATAGGTGGTCAAAGACACCTTAGACCACGCTCCCTTTTACTGGCTTAGGTATTTTATATCTGATACGTACGGAAAGGTCTACCGCCATCTAGTAAGGCCATGAGACATTTCTGAGAAATGAACGGATGGATTCTTTTAAGCCGGCACCGAACCTTACGCGAAAAACTTATAAATTATGTATATCATTTCAGACCAACTTTACAAAAAACAAAAACCTTAAACTTATCTATGCCAATAAAATTTTGACATATTCGATTTCGTTTATTGCTGTAAATGCAAATAATTCTACTACTATTATATAATGTTTACTACATATTTAAATCATTAGCCTGAAGTCATGTTGCTTACATTTGAATTATTAAAGTAACAAATTGCAGATCATTCAATTCAACTGTCTAATAATAATGTCCTCCAGACCGAATTTCGATCACAGGGACCTCTCTCAACAGAGACTAAATTTATAGTGCACGAGTGTGTGCGCAAGCATAGGTGCTCTCTATAATTCCTCACATTATTATATATACAAGAACATCTTGTTCGGATCATTAGAAATTAAACATTTTCTTTTTCTAATTTCAAATTACTTTCCATTTATTTCTCCATTAGTTAGTAGTTGTAAAACAAAATAAATAATACGTCTAATATACGATATCGAATTGAATGTGTCAAAATATTTATTGATAAACGTATTGTTCCTACTATACTTGCAGTTACTTAATAGATGTAGTTTATACCAGCAGCACTCGACGTGTGCTTCTGCAAAACATGTGAATATCGATTAGTGTAAATAAATAATTACGTGTTCTTTTATAGTGGTTTTTTTCCATCCGCTCGCTGATTTTCTGTTTTATTTACAACTATATGGAGAGATGACCGCCGTGGCTGTAGTTGTAGGCTGTCGTAGTGAGCACGATTATCAAATTCTTGGAGCTAACTTACATTGAAATTTAGAGTATTTATAATATAAAATAAATATCGAAATTTGAAACCTAGATACTGTGACATTTCTTTGCAATCTTATTCCGATCTACTATAATTTCAAGTATATACCTTTTTCATAGTATAATGGTGACAAACTAGCACACAGTTCATTTGATGGTAAGTGGATCCTGTGACCTATAGACATCCAGAAGTATAGTTTCCAGAAAAACACAGCAGCGTTAAGCTGCTATTTTACGCTGGTATTCTGTGAGAGCGTAGTCACACCCCGGTCAAGCCGACCCATTCCTACTACAATCGTAATATAGCTGCAGCATGGTTCTACCACGTATGTTCTTGAAAATATTGTATTTGGTCGGCAAAAATTTGGCAACTACTTAGTTTTATCATCCAAGTTTTACCGTTGATAATGCTGAACATCATAGTTAACATAATAATAAAACGTTAGTATGATCAATGCGTCTTTGGTTACATGATATGTTGTTTAACCGACTTCACAAAAGAGAGAAGTTATCAATTAGATTGTATTTTCCTTATTTCATGTATGAGACATAAAAAACTAACGCTGCCGAGACTAGTCAACAAAATGAGCTGTATTTCTTCAATGAGAGAGTATATTTTCATAATTATCACCAAATACACCTATTATTAACCAAATCCGATTATTATTGAGGGCATTTTTTTTAATAATGACAATACAAAAAAATATTTTACTATAGAACTATTTCTTTATCATCTGCCAGAAGAAACGCTGTTAGCCTAAACCAGAAACCGACAACTTCCATGATAAACATAGTCTGTTTGCTTACTATAATAATTAAGTAAAATAGCGAATTTTGAAATCATATTTTTATCACATTAGGGGGAATATTTCAAGCAGTTTTTGTCAGCAACCGGACTTTGATAGGTTATAATTAATCAAAGATAAATGATCTTTTTTCAATGCCTGCGCGTAATCCTGGTGATCGAATTACAGTCCGTAGTGAAAAACTCTTCCCACATTATGAGGTGCATCAGTTAGTCAATCAGTTAGTGTTACGTAGTACTTAGTAGAGATACGCTGCAGTTATATTATGGTTTTGTTTTTTTTTTTATAGAATAGGGGGCAAACGAGCATGCGGCTCAGCTGATGGTAAGTGACTACCGCCGCCCATGAACAACCGCAACACCAAGGGAATTGCAGATGCGTTGCCGGCCTTTTAGAAAGGTGTAAGCTCTTTTCTTGAAGGTTCCTAAGTCGTGTCGGTTCGGAAAATTCGCTGGTGGTAATTGATTCCACAAAGAAGTTGTGCGAGGGAGAAAACTTCTTCTAAATCGCACAGTGGTGGACCGCCAATCATCCAGATGGTATGGATGGTAACGCGAGTTTTGTCGCGATGTACGATAGTGAAATTGAGCGGCTGGAATTAGTCCGAACAATTCCTCAGAGCACTCCCCGTGATAGATGCGATAAAATACGCAAAGAGATGCAACATCTCTACGCAGTGCCAGTGTATCGAGCCGATCGGAAAGAACTCGGTCGTCGACGATTCGAATCGCTCTGCGCTGGATGCGGTCAAGTGGAAGGAGCTGGCACTGGGGTGCCCCGGCCCAGAGATGAGAACAGTATTCCATGTGGGGCCGAACTTGCGCTTTGTAAAGTTGCAAGCGGTGTGCCGGCATGAAATACTGTCCCGCTCTGCTGAGCACGCCAAGCTTTTTAGAGGCCAATTTGGCCTTCCCTTCCAAGTTGTAGATTTTAACTATTATTTATTCTGTGGTTGTAGTACGAATGGTTTCATATGACCAGGACATGACCACGCTCTCTCAGAATAACAGCGCGAAATAGCAGCTATATGCTGTTGCGTATATCGTACAATGAGTATAGAGAATCGGAGACCCTTTTTACTGGCAAATAGGCGGTCCACATTAGCTTGGCCAGGGCTATTACGCGTTATGCATTTCGATCTTTAATCGAGGACAAATGTAGATGTCTATGGGCTCCAGCATTTGCTTATCATCGGTTGGAGTATGTGCTCATTTATCACCCTTATTCTATAAAATAAAAATAAATAGTCCACCACTGAACTTGGGTCTCTCTCGTAGTAAGAAGTTTTTTTTCATCACCTTATATCATCATTTACATCTGTCTTTTAATAGATGTCTGTTCATCTATCCAGTCTATAAAGATCCACTGCTGAACATAGCCCCCCTCCCATATATATTACCTCATACTACCGTCACTTACCGTCATCTATTAAAAGCCATGAGTTTCAGTTTGTTTACCGCTCCCAGGGGTCATCAAGTATATGTA